TGCCCCCCCCATCCTCTCCCCAGGGGGCGGGGCGGGGCGGGGCGGCGAGGCCCACCGGTTGGCCGGGACTTCTTGCACCTTCCACGCCCAGCATCGGGAAAAGGCTAAAGCTTCTGCGGCCCCGGATCCGAGGAGACCGCCCTCCACGTTCGGTAGCGGTCTCTGCCTCCCCTCCCCACGGCTCCCTATGGTCCCTCACGTCCGCTCCCACCTGGTGTGGGGTCCGCTTCCCCACTCCAGAGGGTCTGTGCCCAGGAGAGGTGAGCAGCTCAAGTCCAACCAAAGTTCTTGGACACATTTACTGAATTCCCACCCAGTACCGGGAGGTCTGTGCTTAGCGCAGCCGTGGGGGAGCCGGGCACAGAGAGGGATGGAGTACCCTGAGCGGTGGCTCAGCCCCGGCTGGGGCAGGCATGACTGCATCCTAGAAGCTGTCCTGAGCGGGAGATCAGCTTAGGCGCTACCAGGCATGCCTTCCTCCCCTGCCCGCACTCCTAAGTGTTGTGAACTGGACCTCTTCGCACCCCATTCTGCATGCTCTTCATGGAGGAGCAAACCCCTGGGCTGTACCATGAAGGTAGTGCTCTCAGAGCCAGCTCAGATGCAAGTGCCTGCCAGACTCAGGGGGCACTGATTCCTGGTTCTGCCACTTGCCCAACTTTGTGACTTTGGACAAGTTATTAACCTTTTAAAAATAATAATAATTTTAGAAAGAGGAAGGAGGGATGGGGGAGAGAGAGAGAGAGAGAAACATTGAATTGTTATTCCACTTATTAACGCATTCATTGGTTGCTTCCTGACCGGGAATGGAACCTGCAACCTTGGCGTATGGGGACTATGCTCTAACCAACAGGTATCTGGCCAGGGCTGTTAACCTCTTTTAAACTCAGCTTCCTCGTCTGTAAAACGGTTGTAATAATAGCTCCTGTCAGGGTTGTAATTCACTAATTCATATACACCAGACCAACCACATTTCAGTAAATGCCAACTGACACAACCCCAAGGACTACATGGCTAAGGAACCCCTTCCCCAAATGCCATGAAATTCACATGAGATTCCTATAAATCCAAATGCTATCTTGAAAATGAGTATGGGAAGGGTGAACGAATCTGAAATATGGAGTCATCCAAACCTGAGGCTGGATGACTTAGAGGCTGTCTAAAAAAAAATTTTTTTTTTACCCTACTGAGTTCACTAGAGTGGATTAATTTTAGTTCTGCTGCCCCTGTTACCCAGCAGGGTGGGGGCATTGTGAGCAAGATCAAATCAGTTCTAGGAAACAGAGGGGACTTATATCATTGTACATCTGAGTGTAATGTGAGTGAAATTGCGACCCAGCTGCAGGAGTTCAGATTTTATACTGAAAACAGTGGGGAAGCACTGAAGAATTTTGAGCAGAGAAGTAATGTGATCATATACAGAAATTAGAAGGATGATTTGAGCCGCTCTGTGGAAGGAAGGATTGAAAGCGTTTGAGAGTGAAGGCAATGAGTAATGACAGGGACTGAAATGATGTAGGGGAGTAGGAATGGAGAGAACAGGAGAGCATTGTGGAGATTTGGGAGTTACAATTGGCAGGACTTAAAAAAAAACAAAAACAATTGGCAGGACTTAGAGACCTACACCTGTAGGATATGGGGGTAAGAGGATGGGAAAATGTGGGATAACTCTCAGGTTGATGACTAGAGGTCCTGTGATGCCATTTATTGAGACAGGGAACACATGAGAAGGGGTGAGTTTCAGCAGGGACTGGGGGAGGAGGGAAGATGAGTTCGGTTTTAGATATGATGCATTTGCGGTACCAATTGGACACCCAAGTTCAGATGTTCAATCGATATTTGGATAAATAGGTCTGAGATTCAGGAGAGAGATCCAGGCTGAATTTAACGTTTTGTGAGTTAACAGCAAAGGGTAGTAGTCAAACCAGAAAAGTGGATGAGCTCACCCAGGAAAATCAAAAACTGGTTTAAGCAAAAACGATACATTTATAATCACATACTGAAACCTAAAGACAGGGATGCCTCAGGAACACGTGGTTTTCTCTCCCCCTGTCATCTCTATTATTTTTTGTCGCCTTCATTTCCCTCCCCTGCCCCCACCCCAGCCCCTGTCATCCCTACCCGCAGACTGGTTTCCAATGCTCTTCTGAAAGTCTTGACTTCAAACAATCCCAAAGCTTAAAATTTTATTGTTGAGGTATCCAACCAGACACTCACTCACTTCTTTTTCTTGGTTGCAGTTTGCAAATTCCTCTGATTGGCTCAGCTTAATTAGGTCAACTTGGGACCAAACAACTGTGGTCAAGGGATGAATGAGGATCAAATTGCCTGACAGGGCCCACAAGATAACCCCATGGAACATTGGGATGGTGGTGGGGTTCCCAGGAGAAGAGAAACCCTCAAAAAGCAGAATGCCAGGGGTTCACCCTTTGCCCAACACAAATAATTGTTATATATATATATTCCAAAAATGCCTTCACCTACATACATGATCCAACTATCCTACATACATATGCCAGTAAATTCACCTCCTCTCCTAACGAGGGCAGCTCGGTGACACATCCAGCTATTGCTTCTGGAAGTTATCTCATAGGACACTGTTCTTCCAATATAGGTGGTCTGGGTAATGTCCCTTTGTGCTCTAGTTATAATTTAATCTCTACAAGGTGTGAACATGGCTTCTAATAACCCTATTACCTTTGTTTAAACTGTCTTTGAACTACCTTTAAACCACACCCCCCAAAAAACCCCAAACCTCCTAATATTTAGAGATGGAAGAAATAGAGAATAAAATGGAGCAAAAAGAAAGCACTGTACAGTGGTCACTGATCCCAAGTATCATGTATATTCTTTTGGCCACAGATAACAATGAAAATGATGAGACTAGGAAATCTCCTGGCATCTGTTTGTTGACATACTTCTTTGGCTTTGGGGTGTCTGATTGCCTGCCCCAAGGTCTTGCCCGCAAGGATGAGATCCCTTCTCCAGTGTTCTGAGAGCTCCACTGTGGAGGAGTTCTCTGTGGGGCACTGTACTGATTAGTACTACACTTCCTGATGGTGTTTTAGAGATTGTTCTGGGGTTGAGCAAACATAGATCTCTGCATTTATGAGGATTGGGTGTGGTTTTATTTTTCCTCCCAGATGATACAGTTCTTTTAAAACCATAGTAAAAAAAAAAAGAAAGAAAGAAAGAAAGAAACCATAATCAGCTGTCAGTTTCATCTGGGGGAGAATTCCTTTTGCTAATAACATATTTCATTGGCCCTAAAGCACATTTTTTCCCTAGTTTAAACAACTCTGAAATCAGAATATGTCTTTCAATGAATGGCATGTAATGGTTTTTTAGCCTGTTTTTTCTTAGTAGTTCATAAAATAACTTGATTCTTATAATTGATGGAACATGAGATTTTTTTAAATATAGTAATTTTACCCGTCAGAGTTCTTTTTCACAAATAATAGAATCAACTCTGGGTAGTTGAAGCTTAAAAGGGATTTGTTAAAAGATATCACTTAGCTCAGAATTGTTAGGAGGGCTGGGAAAATGGACTTGAGGCTAAATTTCTAGGAACAATACCCAAACCATACCACACAACCTGACGAGGAAACCACACCACTGACATTCCAAATAAGCACCAAGAGTTCAATTTGCCAACTTTACAAGCTCTATGGCACGTCTGTGGTAGGAACTCAGTATTGCAACCGCTGGGAAACTACCGCTGTTACCGCTACCATGCCCAACTGCAGGACACTTGTGGTACTACCAGCAAGAGCAGAAATCAAAGCCCTATGTCCAACCTGCTTCCTTCCTATATCAGTCAGGATTAGCTAGGTAACAGCAGTTACAGACCTTACTAGAGAACTTTGGCGATGTTTACTTCACTCAGAGTCCTCACTTCTGCATCCAAGTTTCACATGGGGGAAGTAGTATGCCTGTAAACGAGCTGCAAGGGATGCCGGGAACTTTAGTTCTGACTTCTGTACTGAGGAGGCTGGATTATTTTTTCTTAATTTTTTTTTTTTTTAAATCTATCCCCACCCTAACCGGTTTGGCTCAATGAATAGAGCGCCAGCCTGCAGACTGAAAGGTCCCAGGTTCGATTCCGGCCAAGGGCATGTACCTTGGTTGCGGGCACATCACCAGTGGGAGGTGTGCAGGAGGCGGCTGATCGATGTGTCTCTCTCATCGATGTTTCTAACTCTCTGTCCCTCTCTCTCTTCCTCTCTGTAAAAAATAAAATATTTAAAAAAAAAATCTATACCCAAGGATATGTTTTTATTGATTTTAGAGAGACAGGAAAAGAGAGAAACATCAATCATTTGTCTGCTGTACACACCCCAACCGGGGTTCAAACCCACAACCTGGGGTTGTGCCCTGACCGGGAATGGAACCCATGATCCTTCGGTGCCTGGGACTACACTTCAACCAACTGAGCCACACCAGCCAGGCTTGAGGAGGCTGTATTTTAAAATGCGAATTTCCCCTTATAGGAAAACTATTTAAAAGGTGAAGGACATCCATGAATACAGTATATTTTTATGACCGTAATCAATACTAGAATTTTGTAGAACCATGCTCTGAATTTCCAGATTTGCCAAAAAGATACAGGGCCTGCCCAGCTCTCAGAGGAGTGATTTTTCTTTTCAAGCGCTATGTCTAGGGGCTCTT